AAAACTAGAAATAAAAGAGAAATATTTCATTGGCAATTAACTGAAAAATTAAAAGTTTAAGTACTAAAATTACTTTAAAACCTAAATAAAAATGAATTAAAGCTAAATTGAAATATAAAAAACATATGTTTTTGTTCATTGAAATAAAGCTGAAAAATATCAAATATAAAAATTAGATGAAAAACTCAAACTTAAAAGTACTTAAAGTACTAAAATTAATCAAAAGAAATTAATTAAATATAAAAATAAATTAAAAAAATGAAAAACAAAATGACAAACTTAAAAAAATGAAAACTGAAAAATAAAAATAAAAAGCTTATTTCAAATATTAAATTCTATAATATTTCTGTAAATCATGGTGCTAGAAATGTAAGTTCCTTTGGATAAAAGAATCTGCAAAATGCATAAATGTAAATAATAACCCTGGTTCACACCAGAACCAAAAATGTAAAATGTCCTCAACTTTCTCAACCTTTTATTTAACAACCTCTGTTTTCAATACAACTGAAATGGACTGTGATTTATTCTGCCAAGGACAAAATATACCATAAAAATCTCAAATAGGCTACATCTTGCAGTCTATATATTCTGACTCTTGAAATCATCTGACAGCTTTGCATGAGAAACAGACTCAAAGTTAAATCATTCATTGATAAATCTCTTCTTAAACCTCATTTATAGTCACATTTTTCATCTGTCACAAAAAAATCAATGAGGTTCAGCGTCAAAGACATCAAATCTGCTGCGATGCATCTAAAGGCACCACTTTCTTCACTCAAAGCATCTTGGAAAGGGCTTGGATACTTATACATATGTCCTTTTTGGAGAACATGCTGTCATATGGAAGTTTTTGAATTAAATTTTCTTCACAGAAATAACAGCATACGGGTCTGTAGCAAACGATGACAGAAGTCTCATTTTTGGCTGAATTATTCCTTTAATGTCGCAGATCAATTATTGTCTTCTGCATCATTACCTGACTCTGATATTTGGATCAATCAAAGCATCTTCATTTAAGCCGCTCGATGCTAAATGCCTCAATCAATGCCGGCCAAAAGTAAACAAGCCATTTTCTGGTCTGCGGCACTGAAGCGGCTAAAAGACGAACTCAAGTTCACAGTCATAAGTTCTGCAAGGCTTGCGTCGTCTGTATCCCACTGAGAAGGAGAAGAAAGATTAATGGAGTTTGTGAAACAGGCAGCATATTTCTTTATTTGGGGCACATATGCTGCGGAAGCACCCACGGCGTTGTCCAGGGGTGGAGAATCAGTCTTCAGCGTCAGTCAGCGATGCGCTACGAGGCCCGGCGTCACACTGATGCCTCTATTTGACGCTGTATTGAGCATCACTCTGAGGCTGTCAGGCGCTGGCCTCACGGCTTTATGCAATGTGCTTTTGCAACCAACACGTGAAATGCAATGTCCTTTCCCATTATTTCCCAAAGCGGCTGTGAAGTTGCTTTCTATAGAAATGTAATTTAAGCGCATTCAAGCTCTGAGAACTCAATGTAGGTGCCAAACGTTTGGGGAAAATGCTTTTTGGAGATAAAAGAACAAAAGTTCGGCATCGAATCTGCATTCGTGAGTGTTTGCTGGTCATGCATTTGAACGAGAACATGTAACACGTTTTATTTGATCTATTCCTCTGCATTTCTAAGATGTGCATACGTTCATTATTTTGTAGGTTCAGTGTCATGTCAGAAACCCTTTCAGGCTCACAGTGACACCTAGTGCTCTAGTAGTGGTTACTACATCACCAAATCACCAAATAAACAACACCACAGATAGAACAGTTCACCCAAAAATCAAAATGTGCTGGAAATGTGCTCAGCCTCATGTCATCCAAGATTAGGATGAGTTTGTTTCTTCATCAGATTTGGAGAAATATAGCATTGCATCAGTGTCTCAGCAATGGATGCTCTGCAGTGAATGGGTGCCGTCAGAATGAGAGTCCAAACAGCTGATAAAAACATCACAATAATCCACAAGTAATCCACACCACTCCAGTCCATCAGTTAACATCTGGAGAAGACAAAAGCTGAAACAAATCCAGCATTAAGATTCAAACCATTGCTTCTGACGAGTCCACACTCTAAAAAATGCTGGGTTATTTCAACCCAACTTTTTGGTTAAAAATGTAATGTAAAATTTTAACCCAACAGTTGGGTTAGTCCATATTTGACCCAAAATTAGGTTGAAACAACCCAGCATTTTTTAGAGTGCATAATCCATAATAATGCTTTCTCATGCCAATCTCCAGTTGTCTCTCACATCAAAATCCAGCCACATATTTGTTTAGAGCTGTTTAAACGCTGCTTGATCTGTGCAGATTTCTCTCCTGATTCACACCAGACCACTTTTTCACTGGAGGAAGCGTTATTATGGATTATGGACAACAGTTTGAAGTTAAAAACATCTTAATGCTGGATTAGTTTCAGCTTTTGTCTTCTCCAGATGTTAACTGATGGACTGGAGTGCTGTGGATTACTTGTGGATTATTGTGATGTTTTTATCAGTTGTTTGGACTCTCATTCTGACGGCACCCATTCACTGCAGAGCATCCATTGCTGAGACACTGATGCAATGCTACATTTCTCCAAATCTGATGAAGAAACAAACTCATCTTGGATGGCCTGAGGATGACTAAATTTTTAGTTTTAAATTTTTACACTTGCAATTGTTTAAAAAGCCTAGGATTAACCTGGAGTGGAAAAAAGAGAACTATAGAATCAAATAGGATTACGTTGTTTAGGTAGCAACGTTCTTTTAAACCAACACCATTGTCTATTGCCACATCCCAAACTGTAAAATGACTGCAAAAACTGTAATTTAAACATCATCACAGTTCAAAAATACAAATTTTTACAAAAAATAGGTTTTACAAAATGATCAACTTTACATTCAACCTAATAAATCATTTAAAAGGCGAAAAGTGATTAGGCTGCAGGTGTGATACTAATTTTGTCTGAATCCAGTATATGTATCTTGTTTTTAAGACATTATCGTTGTTATTATTAATAATAAATTTATTAGACACTTCTACTGGACAAAAATTCAAGAATACTGACTAAAAAAAAGTTCATTAATTAATTATAGGAGCATCCCGACTGCATTTAGCATGTTCACCGTCAACGTTTTAACCATTGATGCTCAAACTAAGCAGCGTGTGAGCGTTTAGCACATTAATATTTAACGAGGCCAGCACTGATTCGTTTATGATTCTAGCACTGCATGAATCAACCTAGATGCCATATTTCATTCGCACAGTCCATTCGGTAGGCTGCAAAGTCTTTATGTTTTAAGTCACGTCTAATTTATACATGTTTTTGAACACTAGAAAGGTCCACTGTCCCCAAGTCAGTGGGTTTTTTAAATGTTTTTTGGTTAAATTAAATAAAATAAAGGTTATGGTGAACACAAGCTCAAGCTATTTTCATATTTTATTCTACGACACAATATACCTTTTTTTTAAAGCTTTTACTTTTTGCTAACAAGTGTCTAAATGAAACTAAAGTGGCTGTTGGGGATATTAAACATCAAGCTGCCAATCACGCTCTTGCAAATTATTCTCAAACGTTCAGGGAAAATGTGTTTTAAATAAAGACTGCAAGAGTTGACGGAAGCTTAATAATGTTGAGGTGAAGTCATGTGACTGTGGTGTAGTTCGTAGCTCGTATAGCCTACACTTGGCTTTTTACTTCTGTCGATTGTATTTAGACTTCAACATTCATAGAAGTTGTATGCATTTGTGAACATTATCATGATTCATGATGAACACTATGTGTAAGAATCAGACATTTTTTTTAGGCACAGAGCTTATTTTCTGCAAGCAGGATCAGTTATTTTAGTGTTTGACATACTGTATATATTGAATTTAATTGTATTTTTATATTTCATTTTTAGTTTAATTTTAGTAATTTTGTTGTGTGTCATTTTTTTTATGTCTATATAGATTTTAAGTTTTATTTTTAGATTATTTAGTTTTATAATTTTGTGTATTTTATATTATTTCATTTTTTTTATTTTTTATTTTATTTTGAGTAATTAATTGTTTTATAGTTTTAGTTTTAGTTCACGATAATAACCCTGAGGAGAATTGAGTAATTTCTTGGGTGAAACAAATGGGAATACTAACAGATTTGTTAATATCTTGAATTTATTTTATTTTTATATTTTCTGTTTTTTTTTTAGTCATTTGGTTTATTGCTTTTTTAAAATGTCTGGGTTTTTTTTTTATTAAGTTTTAACTTTTAGTTTTTTTAGGACTTCAACGAACTAAACCAAAAATGAGAATAATGTTTCTGTATTTTATTTTATTTTAGTTAATATTTATTTTATTTTTATTTTGAGTAATGATTTTTTTATTTGTTTGTTTTATATTAATTTTTAAATAACCCTTAGTGATTTCATAGGTCAAGCGAATGGTAATACTAACAAAATTAAAATTAAATTAAAGTTTTAGCAATTTTGTTGTGTTTTTTTTTTTATTTTAATTAGCTTTTGATTTTTTTAAATATTTCTACACAGTTTTTATTAAGTTTGTTATTTTAGTACTTCAAAATGAGAAATGTTGTTTTGGCAACTGGAATTTTTCTTCTATGTTTTATTTCAAGTAATGAAATCAATTTTTTTATGTTTTTAGGTAGTTTTTATATCAGCTGAAAGTTTTAGCAATTTGTTGTGTTTTTTATTTTATTTTATTAGCTTTTGCTTTTAAAAAAAATATGTCTATGTCAGTTTTTAGTAAGTTTTAGTTTTTGTTATTTTAGTACTTAAACTGAACAAACATGAGAAATGGTGTCTTGGCAACTTGATTTTTTTAAATATATATTTTTCTATATTTTAGTCAATATTTAAAGTAATGTGTATGTGGTTTTGGTTTTAGTTTTAGTTAACCATGAGTGATTTCACAGGTGAAACACACAGCAATGCTAACAGATTGTGGAAAAAAAGGCAGAAAACTGCTGCTCTTTGTCATATGAGCTTCTCAAGTGCACTTACTTGTATGTAATGTCTGATTTCCACAGGCACGGGCCGGCCTGCACTCATGCTCTCAGTAAACCAGCTGATGTGCAGCACGTGTTTATCATGAGTCTCTCTAAAGCCCTGCTCCTCGAGCCAGCTCCACAGCTCCTGCGCCGCGTTCCCCTCCGACACGACGTGCGTCACATCAGCGCTGCCAAACACACACACACACAGCAGATACACACCATTAGACGCATATAATGGATCCCAGATCGTGTGGCACATAAGTAGCTGTTTTCAAGCGCCTTAATCCAGTTTCACATCTACTCTAAGACTGATTGATTCTCTCACACACACCCACACGCTCTCGTCCAGCGGTTTTCATTTCTCCAGCGGTTCTCAATGATCAGATTATACCGTATGAAATCAAATCAGGTGGACTTTCGCACATTAGGATGTGAATGTGACGTATGTGATGATCACACACACACACACACACTCAGTCCTGAGCTTTCAGCACTTTGCTAAATGACTGAGTCTATCAGAGCAGTAGGCTAAACCAAATTATGCAATCAGACACGCCGAGGTACAATAGCAGAAGGGACAGGTGCCGCTGTGGATGTTTGAAATGAGCCCGAGACGGAGAGCGCTTGGGGGAAATCGACCGCTGATGTGGCTTGCGAGACTAATTTACTCACTTCTGTTTGCCATCAGAGGGAAAATCTCTCATCTTTATTCTTTCGAAATGTAAATCTGGTTTGTTTGATTGAATAACAAAAAACAAAACCTTTTAATGGTCTGACTACTTTAGTATTATTATAGGCCTATTAGAATATTTATTAATATTTAGAATTAGCTTTTATTTTTATATTTTCAGTTTTTATTTTAATTTAAGTTTTAGTGATTTTGTTATGTGCTTCAGTAATTTTTATTTTTGTAAAATTTCTATTTAGCTTAATTTTTTTAGTTTTTGTAAATTTAGTATTTTATCTAATATTTATATTTTTCAGCTTTATTTTAATTAACAAAAGCAAACTTTTATTTATATTTTATAGTTTATATTTCTATTTAGTTTTAATTCTTTTTCCCTCCAGTTTTAGTAATTTCAGTACTTCAACTTCAACTTATTTCCATTTATTGCCAAGGCAACAATTCGCTTTTTTTTTTAAGTTTACATTCATCTAATATTTATATTTATTTATTAAAATTAACAAAAACTAAGTTATTAATACTGCTATTTAACTCATTTTATTTTTACTTCAGTTTTAGCTTTAGTATTTTTTGTACTTCAACTTATTTCAGTTAGCTGCCAAAGCAACATCATTTTCAATCTAAGGTTTTCTATTCATTTCAGTTTTAGTTTTAGTAATTTTATTACTTACACTTATTTCGGTTAGTTGTCAAGGCAGCATTTCTAATTCTCAAGTTTTTCATTTTTCATTTTATTTTTTTAGCTTTATTTCAATTAATAAAACTTACCTTTTTATATTTCTATTTAGTTTTAATTCTTTCTTTTTTCAGTTTTAGTAAACCAATTTATTTCAATTTTTAGTTTTATTTCAAGTACTTAAACTTATTTCAGTTAGTTGCCAACTAATGAAAACATTTTTAATAGGTCTATTTAACAATAACACATGATTTGACTTGAAAGCAGAGAAACGATACATTATTAGAGTCCAACATATTTAATCATTTTTACAGTTTTTAAAGAAAATATTACTGGCGTTTGTCTGTGCAAAACTCAATGCCAAAATGATAAGATGTTTGCCAGGGCATCGCTATGCAGTTTATTTGCGGCCAAAGTCAAATGAGCCTCTGACTCTATACCATGCTTCTGAAATTCATGCACCAGAGTATTTAAATTGCATGCAAATTTGTCATATTTTTCAAGATGGCAATGTTTGCAATTAGAAGTCAGAGAGACTGATGCAAACTCCCACAAGATCAAATTATCTGAATTTTATAGCTCTATACTTTCACTGCATGACTGATTTGACTATTTTATTCCTCCGAAAGGAATTTTAGCAGAAGCATCCAAGCTGATGCCGAGCAATGAACGAGCAACCTGCATTTTCCTCTTACATCAAACTCCACAGGAAGCCAATCACGCTTTGATTGATTCAAACAGCTTCAATATAACATAAGATGTGCATTATGAATGTTACAGCCCTTCCCGTGCAGCGTCTCCGTGACGTCTCTATCACGACATGCATCCGTGTGCAGGGTAATACCAGGGGATTTATTATAGGGCACTGTATTATCAGACTCGTACAGATATCAAATCCTCACTGGCTTATGAAATGTCAGTTTTCAGCTCATCACGACGGGTTTCCTGTGGTTGGCTGCAGACAGCAGCACGCAGCCGTAGGCCGCTCGAGCTCAAGCTGCATTTCTGGGAATGGTGCCATCACTCAGCTGGGTTCAGCACGCTATGCTACGGCAAACTGCTGACTGCTGTTATGCCCATCTACCCAAACAACTCCCACTGGTGCTTCTCCACCTGCACAAACTGGCACCAACAGCCCAGGATCGCTTCTGACCAAGCAGCCATGAAGAGAAGAATAACAGACGACACTTCACGCGTGATGTTCAACACATTACACACTCTGACACTGTGCTTTCCACTTCAAAACAAGTTTGTCTGTGCTTGTAAAGTTTGGTTCTTCTTGAAGCGACTGATTAATTCTCTTAATCAATAGCTGCGCGAAGAGGTTTTAATAGATGGTTTCTGTGCTATTATTACAACGTCATTTTCTATGCAACCTTCTGTCTAGAAACTCATCGAGACTCCAGCCGCCCAAGTCATTATCACTGTGATTTGCATAAAATTGTATGCAAATTAAAATATTTTATTACACAGTCAAAAATAGAGCTCTTAATTGTTTGCCAAAGATGTATGTCACTCACGTTCTCTAAATAGGGAAAATATCTCTACTGGGATCTGAATGACTCTGAGTAGGATTTAAAACAAACAAACACAGAAAATGCCTCCGACTGTTTTCACACTTGGTTCATGGTTCATCGGTTTTACATACATTTACGTCAAATTAAGTGTGGTCATTGGCGTTTTTTAAGCTAAACCAACTATTAAAGCCAAAACGTGCTTTTATGAAAACTGCCCATTCAATGAAAAACGTATCTACCCTCTCCCTGGATGTTTTATATAATGAAATTATTTGCTGAGACATACTAACTTCTGTTTAAGTTCTGTTCAAATTCCTTAAACATGATTGATCCAAAGGCTCAATGCTTAAATTTGCTGTTAATTTACAGATTACACAGATCTACAGGTTACTAGGGCTGCCCTCGACAAAGGATTTTTCTGGTCGACTAGTAGTCGTTCATTTGAAGCATTAGTTGATTAATCGCACGTTTAATAATAAACAATTTAAATCATTATAATGAGCTTTTAATTGCCTAATAAGCGCTCAAGCACGCGCATAAATCTTGCCACAGTGCACCGGCAGAAGTAATGATTATGAATGTGTCAGGGAAAAACAGTAAGGAGGCTGCATTAACATTTTAATAATCCACTGATAAACTAGTGCTTTTTTTGTTTTCGGTTTAAGAGATGAACTCGTCATCTCCACAGTAGTGGATGCACCTGCATGTTTCATACGGATTACATAATCTGAGAATATTTGTTTACCATTTTAATTGGTTTATTTAAAAAGTAGACATTTCACTCTCTATAGATATATTTTTAATGCCTGTAAGGCAAAGATATACACGGAGTTTCGCCCTCAAGTTCACAGAGACCGAAACGGCAGAAAGCGCATCCTGATCTCTTTCATTATTTTACAAAAGCGCAATGTTCTGATGTTATTGTGAGTGCACACAAATAAACGTAGAGTCTTTACAGACTCGAAAGATGTATTACTCTTATCTGTACGAGCAAAAATGACGGAATATTTTAAGAGACAGTGAGCACACCGGCGCCTCCATCTGTCCTGCAGTGAGCTGCTGTTCAGCTTCCACGCTCCGCACAGATAGCGCACATTTCTCTAGGTTAACATTAGATTGAGCGGCCATGTAAAGTTGCTAATACTTACATATTTCAGATGATAAGCCGTATTTGAGGTCGATGAATGATAGGCCAGCGTTTGGATGTCCTGCCCGATGTACTACCACATAGACCAGCCTTAACGATCTGCGTGACTTCGCCAATGTGGATTTTTTTTTTCTGCAACTAAGCAACTAATACAATTTTGGTTGACCAAGCCTCTTCTGGTCGACTAACGATTAGTCGACTATTTGGGGGCAGCCCTACAGGATAATCAATCATAACTCACTTCCAGACGCCTGACAGTCACTCAGACTCGAAATGAGCCAAAATACTGGCGTATCGGATCCTGAACGAACATTCTAATATTGTGTATAATTTTCGTGCAGCAGGGACCTGCTATCAATATGCAGGGTATTGAAATCTGTTCACTTTCACTTTAGATTTCCCGATCATGCGCAATCTGTGTAAAGAGAGCACATCTTACGAGATCAGATATTTGTCAATGAGTTCAGGATCTGTTGAGCATCAAAACCTCCAGCATGGTCCTGTCAGTCATCTTTGAGTTTTGATATTTGGGATATGGTCATTGCTCTACTCTGCTGTTTTTGACTGGCCATTGGGCTAAATTTGTCATGCAACCCTGGCAGTATGGAGCAGAGTAGACATTTTCAGGTTAGAATTGTAGCGTACGTTTTCCAGCTGAACTAATGCTGCGTCCCAATTCGCCTACTTGTACTATATCACTATGATGCATTTAAATGCACATAGTGATGCATTTAAAAGTTAATGACCAAACACATCATTATAAAAGTTCACAATGTTGCTGCAGATGAAATATAACACGGATACCATTAAATAAATAATCAATGTCTAACCTGATGAAAAAAATATTTATCACTCAAACCCCTTTCTCTGTCCGTCAGTCTCGCGTATCTGCCACGTTTGTAGTTTTTAAACACTTTTTATGCTTGTTTGTAGTTCTAATTGAATCCTCGTTCACCGCTCAATGTGTTGTGGGCAATATTAGCTGTTAGAGTGTGCATCGATCTGCACTTCGAATTCTAATTAGAAGCGGTAGACCATCTTTGACATACTCATTTCAACATACTACGATTCAAGACATACTAATTCTATTTTTGAATACTATTTAGAATAGATAATATGAGAATTGGGACTTTTTTTTTGTCCCGGTGGGCAAGAAAGTAGCTGCTGACTTGCATTTTATGAATCACCAAGGACCACGGTTTCAACCAAAAACATGGTTTCAACTTCTTTACTGTCACCAACATCTTGGCCTGAGGGTGACTCTGGAATATGAATTAGGTCACGGCGTCTCACATCATCCACTGGGTTGTTTTCTGTGTCACGTACCTGAGAGCGTCGTCTACGCAGAAGCCCTTAGATCTGGCGAGATTAGACAGAAAATTCCTTCTGCTTTTTCCCATCCTCCTCTCCACCAGGAACAGTCTCACATCCCTGAACTTCACCTCCTCGCGACCCCCAACGAAGGCAACTTCAGGCCGCCGACGCTTTCGAGTAAGAAGAGCTGTCGGAAACATCTCTGAACCAGGGCCTGGGGCTTCTGTCGCATATTCTTCACAGTTGCATGGGGTGATGCCGTTGATGTCTTATTTTCCTTTGACAGACAAAATTGGCAGTTGGTGTGGCGTGTTTGTTTATGGTTTTGGCAAAGAGTAGAAGAGTCTTACAACAGGTGCTTTTGATTTGGCACTTGTTCTGATAGGGCACTGCCAAAACTACCACTAACAGATGGATGCAGAACACCGGGTCACAGGGAAGAGAAAAGGAAAATAATACCTGCACTGAGGGCAACGTTGAATAAATAGCACAGAGTATGTTTTCACAAACTCTCTGGTATGGCAATGTGACACCACAGGCCTTTATACCACACGATCACACACATTAATGTCTGATTCCTTCATTAGGACCACTCTGAACGTATAAAGTGTAAAAGAAATTATTGTTTCTGAATAAAAATCCTAAATTTTGCTTGGTTTGGAAATGACACAAAGCTACCCTCATCTCAAATATTGATATTTTCATCATTTACTCTTCATCATGTTAGTCCAAACCTGTATGTCTTTCACAAAAGACAACAAATTAAGATATTTTGAAGAACACTGGTAACCAAACAATGTTAAGGCTCATTGACTTCCACTGCATGGACAAAAGAACAGTTTTCTCAAAATATCTTGTTTCAGAAAAGAAGACAAAAAGTCCAATTTGGAATAACGTGGGTGTGTAAATGATGACAACAAGTTATTTTTTGGGTGAAATGTCTCTTTAAAGTCTTAAAATGAGATGTGTGACCATCACTTCTCATTTCCATGGTAATTTCCACTTCGCATTTCCAACAAGACTGTTGTCAAAAAAGCCTATCATGATGATAATGGTGTTAAAAACTCTAAATGCAACTGAAGTAACTTAGGTTTATTTGATCATTCATACACATTTTTTTTAGAAAAATCATGTTCAAATGTGACTATATGATCGTCAGGCTTTTCTGGGAACGTTTATTTGTTCATCTCTCAAACATCACTGTATTGCATTGCATTAAATGTTCTGATCATCTTACTAAGACATATTATTGGAGATATAGAGTGACGACAGATAATTAATGTTATGTCAGTATCTGCTATACTGTTATAAAGACCTCATTGATTTACATAATATGCATCAGAATTTCATCTTACTTTTTGTCAATATAAGTATATAAATATCAGCATCTGCACCAAATTACACATTTTTGAGCAGTTTGAGTCTCTGAATAAAATTAAGCTGTTTTCCCCTCCATATTCTCACTATATCAGACTACATGAGCCAAAAAATAATGATGTATTAAATATAATACTCAACAGAAAAACACAAATGCAAATGCCAAGACTATATTTCAGACTAGATCAACTAGAAATAGGATTTTAAGCACCTTTGATATAGGGGGAATTCAAGTAAATTGGGACACTTTTTTCATTGAGATGACTGGGGAAAAATGGCCCAATTTTGCACTATAAAGCAATATATGTCCCTCTCTTTCTAATAAATGGCATTTAGCTGTTGCAGTAATTCCAGTGAAAACATCTCACCACCAAAGTCAACAAATAATATGGACTTGTCTGTGTGCACAGGGGTGTCGTCAAGCTGGTGTAGAAAAACACCCTTCATAAAGTGTTGCAACAAAATCTAAAGCACACAATTCCCTTGATTTCATCATTTTATGTGTAGCATTAAGGTTTGTCCTCATGGAAATCACTGGAAGCTGTTAATTAGAAGTCGTCCACATGCTTTTGGCCATTTAGTGCATTTTCAACACCATTTGGGATACATCTGTCTCGCTTTGGCATATCATATGAGATGGATGGTGGGCACATTGGGATTCAATCCATATGTTTGCAGCCACAGCATCTCTGAAAACAATGCTTACACGAGTCTGTTTCAAGCTGTTTTCCAGTCACGCAGTGAGAATATATTCATGTTCTGCAGGTGCATCTGAGTGAACTTTACCTTGTTTTTCTTGTTGCATCTCACAAGTGCTGGACTGAATTTCTCCACCGAGTTGTCGTGGGATTTGAGAGGGCTGGTCAGAGTGATAAACCTCTACAGCTGTCCAGTAACGTCCAGCAGTTTCCTCACAGACGTGGCACATATGTAGTACAGCACACCAGCCTGTTCCTAACGCACCACCATCTGCCTGAGCAAGCTAATGAGCCTCTACTCGCTAAGAAGAAACCCTTCATTAGCTGCTGAATGGACGCTAAGTACCATATGTGGAGATGAACTGGTCATTGAGGGCTTTTTAGATCTTTATTATGCCTCTTCTTTACAGAAGAACTCACACTGTTTCCCTCAGTGCATCATTCACTTCCTACTGCTTTGTTTATTTATTCTGTTGATGCTTTGTTGAGTTTTTTTCCCAGTTGCTTTTTCTTTTTATCTTTGTCTTCATCTCTGTTATTCTAATGCATGCTCTAAGCAATCATATTACAGTTTTCACCTAGCTATTGATAAAACAGGTGCACAGCTCTGGTTTCTAGATATGACTCTGGTCTCATATATAGAGACGAAATTTTTCACCTGCTTTATCATTGAGAATTATCACTCTGTCAACTTCGTCCAATAAAAAACAAATTAAAAAAACATACTAGCAAACACCCTAGTAACTGCACAGCAATAGAGCACAACAGTCGAGTTGTGGAAGTAAAAATCCCTTTCATTTTCTCCATAGGAATTGATTTTTAATGATAACTTACAAACCTTTAAAGACTGATTACTTTGAGCTACGAGGTTGTTAATCGTTGGTATAAATGCATTTGTTGAAGCCAACCAAACTGCATTATTCTACCTTATTTTTGAAATAATCATGTTCAACAGCGGATTTCCTGGTGAAGACTGACATTGTCTACAATTCAGCAGATCTCTTTTTATCTGATTGTCTCTTGATCTGATTTTCAAATACTTTTTTGCCTCAAATCAAAGTTTCACCATTTGGTTTGGTTCAATCGTGGCTTTATCGAAAACGTTTTAAATCATTAAAACTGTGTTAAGCGTGGAGCGCGGGCTAATGAAGCATAAAGAAATAGAAAGGTGAAAGAAATTCTCATTTTAGTAGGGAAGTATTTACGTGCATTTTTTATTTGTATGCCTAATATGTCGAAAATGCCAAACGTTTCGTTATCATCACTGATCAGTTAGGAATTCACGAATCACGTAAACGATAGGCCTATTTACAATTCAAAAAGGCCATATTAGAGGAAAAAGTCGAGCAGTTTCCATCACTGTCTAACATATCATAAAACAGTTCTCAAATATTCAATGTTTCGCTATTTGCCCGCATTCTCCAAGCTGCAGCTCCTCATATTATTGAAGTGTTTCACTAGTTAGCAGTGAACCGGTTCGAAGTCCTTTTAAGACATATTCTATAGTACGCATTCTATAGTCTTTGACCGGTTACCTCACCTAAATATGTTCGTTGATTTGTTGGATGTTATCTTTGGAATGGAAATATGGATATTTTATTTGTAAATATCATTCTTTTCACTTATTTCAGTTAATGTCATAAAACTAGCTAGCTGAGCCAATAGTAGTGCTGACAGTGTCGTGTAAACATGACTGAAGACGCGAAACGCGGAGGAACCGAATTGACTGAGTCAATAGGGCCTTTAGCACCGCGGGAACCTTTTCATAGTACCAGAACTAATTGTGGAACTACCCACTTTTTGGCGTTTTACCGCTCCGTTTGATTCAAACTCGTGACTTCGATCAATTCAAGCGATTCACTACCAAAAATGTTTCGAATTTCGGTATGGTTTGTAAAAGCACATAGTGATGGGTGAAACAGAGCTTTTTGAAACTCTGAATCAGTTAAACCATTGCGTCGCATCATTTGATTCAGACTTCGCGAATCATTTAGCGAATTGAAAGATTAGTGATCCGAGCTCCAAAGTCCCGATCTGAAATGATGGTTTCCGAATCATTATTCTAATCAGAATTTCAGAGCGCAGAGCGCAAATCCTTTGATTCAGATCAGAAATTCAGAGCACGAATCGCGAATCATTTGATTTAGGTTGGAACTTCGGAGTGTATGCGAATCATTTGTTTCAGAACGGGACTTCGGAGCAAGTATTGCGAATCTTATTCTGATTTTTTTTTTTATTAAAAAGTACAAAACCTCAAACCATTAAGGCAGTACAGTTATAAAACAAAACAAGAAAAAAGAAAGTATACACAAATAAATCCCTTAAAAATTAACCATTGTTTTATTATAGTAAAAGTGTAGTAACAATGTTTTTGTTTGTTTGTTTGTTTTTGTATAATTACAGTTTTACCATAAATATGGTTAGTGTAGAAAAAGCATGGATAAATTGTGTTCACCATGGTTTACTATGTTTATTTATTTTTATTTTAGTAAAACGGTTCATTTTTGTAAGGGAGGTGATGCCAGGTTAACAAAATTAATAAATAAATAAAAATGTCTATATAGGCTACTTGTCTACATCAGCTTTGAATAAAGAAAAGAGAGGTTTAGAGACAGATTTTTGTTTATGTATGTGAAATTTAGCTAGCAGGAAACAATATTAGTAATTATAAAAAGTTCTATTTTCCTGTGTTCTCTTTCGAGTAGTCAAACAATCCAAAGAAAACATCTTTAAAACAGAAAGAAAAGTCACTCACAAAATTAGATCGAATGAACATTTAAATAAATCTGAGCAAAATGTCCAAAACAAGTGAATGTTTGTTCACTTCAATTCACTTCAATGTCTGACTTATATGTGACGGGTATATTTGTAGCAATAGCCAACAATACATTGTATAGGTCAACATTATCGATTTTTTCTTTTATGCCAAAAATCATTAAGATATTAAGTAAAGATCATGTTCCATGAAGATATTTTGTACATTTCCTACCATAAATATATCAAAACCAAATTTTTGATTAGTAATATGCATTGCTAAGAACTTCATTTGGACAACTTTAAAGGTGATTTTCTCAATATTTAGATTTTTTTGCACCCTCAGATTCCAGATTTTCAAATAGTTGTATCTCAGCCAAATATTGTCCTATCCTAACAAACCATACATCAATGGAAAGATTACTTATTCAGCTTTCAAGTGACCTTTATCACTGGTTTTGTGGTCCATGGTCACATATTATATTTACATCCATAAGCCTTTTTGTGAAATTTGGAATATCTCATTAATCTGTTGCTTGACCTCTTCATATTTAAGGAGAGAACCAGGGGCGTAAATCACCCATCTGAGGGTTGTCCCCCCTAAATATATTATTACAAACCTCTCTGTGTATTGTAAATAATGCACAGAGAACTCATATTTAAACACGGTCTCCATGCCATGCACTGTACACATGCTGTGTACACATATCTGTCCTTGCAAGTACAATTTTAGTTGTATTATTTGTGTCCCCTTCAAAAATTGCTCTTGAGAAATTTTATGTTTATTGTCCCCCCCAACTGTTAGATGAAATTTACGCCCTTGGAGAGAACTATTGAGTTTCCAAAGTCGGACCGGACCAGCCTAAATTAAAAACGTACCTTTAAACCTTTATGTCCTGCTAACAACAAACAGATTGCTGTGTAATGGAGGGTAGCGTACAGTGCAAGATTTTAAAATATTGGGGGGTACATTTCTGATTATTTGAGGGGGGGTGTACTTGTCCTCCTCTATGTCTATGGTGGTTACAGCCCTGTATCTAATAGATCACAAACACTGCTGCTGCGTTAGTCCTCTATAAACACTCCCATCTAAATAACCTGCAAACACAGACCCGTCTCTCTCTCTCTCTCTCTCTCTCTCTCTCTGTCTCTCTCTCTGTATCTCTCTCTGTATCTCTCTCCTTTAATCGACCCTTTTCACATTTCCAGGTTTCTCAGCAGCGGACGTCGTCATAGTTGGGTAAACTTCGATTTTAAGAACAAATTTACCATCCCTCCCACAGATGCGTTAACTGTTTTTTTGTAATTTGATGCAAAGGTGATATAATACAAAGAATATTGTGATAAATGTACATACAATACAAATATGAAAAACTTTTTACGATTTACGATGCTGATGACCGTTAAACGCGTCATCACAGTCTTGAGAAAAGGGTCCATTGAAAGGGACCAAAAGAAAACTACAGCAATGAGAGAGACCTCATTCACAGAATCAGTATGGGTCATTTTCTCATAACCTCAGTCTCTGTCTGTCTGTGTCTGTGTGTGTGTGTGTGTGTGTGTGTGTGTGTGTGCGTCTTTGACAATGATGCTACGACTCTCATTAACTTGATGCCGGAGGTTAACCGGAGGGTCACACTGTAGCTTTTGTGTAATCATAAAGCCACTTCCTCTCAATTCTTCATGTCAGCGTGGGTTTGGATCCAGTCCAGAATTAAAAACGCAGACCGGTGAAAAATAGTCCGTGTCGGAGCACCTGCACAACAACGATTCCTGGAACAACCGTATTAACAATAACTGCTATTAATTTTATATAAAAACACTGCATCAGTACATAATTCATCTTAACATTATGAAGTAGCTGTTATAAAGTGAATCATTATGATTAATACTGCAATAATTCTTTGTAAATATAATACACAATGCATCACAAAAACATTATTACCAGCACGAGAGAGTTTTATGGCATCACAGTATTTCCAAATAACTGAATTGTAGAATCTCACTAAAACTGATAATCACATATTCCCATATGCAAATGTAATATATGTACATATACTAAATTTCCATATATGAAATATTTTGTCATATATGGAGCCTATTGGAAATTCCATCAATGCATGTTGATTCTGTAAGTAAATATATATGTATATATAACATAAGATAGACATTTATTTAAATAATTACTACAAAACATATATAAACATACAGATTTTTTATAATATATATTGTTTTCATTAAGTTGCATACATAAAATAAATATTGTTGACAGATGGTTACTACATATAATGCAATATAAAAAAATTATCATAGATATTACTAACATATGTACATATACAAATAAACTTATATTTTCATCTACTGTATATAGGGCAATGTATATCATATATTACATTTCCATATGGTTTATGCAATTTACTGATCAATTTATAAGTGAAAATTGTTTCAACACCAAATTTCTTCAGTGTACTATTCTCATAGTATCATATAGTGTTTCTCAATAACAGCATATACGTTTAAAAAAAAAAAAAAAAAGCCTAAAACTTTCCATATGAGGCATTTTTAGATGCAGAAACTTATCTTGAGCTTATTGTATCTCGTCTTTGTGAAAACCCTATTTATACCCAAGCAGCTCTTGAAACTGACCTGTTTGAAACCACTCGAGCTGTGGTGCATCGTCTGTGTGCGGCCTACAGACGAGACAAAGACGCAGGTGAAATAAACAGCTCGAAATGACATTTCCCATCATTTGGACAGCACTGAAGCTTACAGAGAGTGCTTGAGTCTGATAATTCATTAATAAGAGAGAAACAGAAACTTGTGTATTCTGTGGTCAGCAAAAACATTTGAAACCTGTGGGGGAAAACACATATCAATTTCAAAGTAAAATTTATATTTTTAGGTTGTTATTGCATAAGTCAGATAATTCAATGTCAAATATCTTCTCATGATCGCATGCTATGGTGGTTAACTGTCTTAAAAGGAAATGACAAACGTTATTAAAAGCATTTACATATTTCATTGCTTCCTGTTGAGAAAAAAACCCTTAAGACACGGCCAACTAAAAGTGAGTAAGTGGATATATTTGTAATTACCCACAAGCGCTCATTGTTCTCCATTATGTACTACGTCTACTGCATGTGTGCAAGCTGTAGGGGAGACCGGGGCTAGTTGTCACACGCTTTACTTCAGTGAATATTTCTCAGTGTGAGTTCATTTTGAAGTCAGCGTCTGAATAAATACACACATTACACGCCTTGACTGTTGAATTAATAGTCCTTTGAATGTGCGTTTCAATGGCACGATTTTCTGTTTCTATTTGGCATACAGTTTATACGCCGAAATGGACTTTGGCGTGCATATGATACGCAATTGGTAGGTTTAGGGGTGTGGGGTAGGTGTGTATTATATGCACGGCAAAATGTGTATTATATGCACGGCAACAAAATGCGTATCATATGCATGCCAAAGTCAGTTTTGTATATAAATAGCACATGAAATAAAAAAATAAAAAAATACAAATAAATAAAAAATCATGCTATTGATACACATTTTCATGAGACCAGGCTCTTATTTTCACAATGGACACTGATGTAAAGCAGCTTTACCAAAAAATTAATAGTATCTGAAATTCTGTAGGGTTCTCAATTCACTTAAAAAGATATTTTGTTTTACTATATGTTAAATAAATACATTCATACATACAACATACATAAAATATTTATGTATTATTATTATTATTATTATATGTATTATTTATTGATAGAGGAAAAAACTTGGAGAAACCACAGTGTTTGTTAAATGACCTTTTTTCTCAATTTTTTTCTCTATTAATTTTTTATAATAAATCATACAAATGATTATTATATTATATTATATTATATTAAAAATAAATTTGCAAAACCCAGGCCCAGCTGGTCATTTACAGGTCACTTAACAAACATTTTCACCAGGCAAAATATATTAATAAATAAAAAGAATAAAATAGATCAAATGGTCATTAAAGAAATCACACAAGTTGAACGTTGTCATATTATATAACAGTAAAGTATAGTATATTATAATTTATGTATTTGTTTATTTATTAAAAAATTAATTTTATTTAATTTTTAATATTTAATTACAAAAATGTATAGAAAAATTAACTTCTAAAACATCAAAACATTGTGTTTTTTTGTTTGTTTTTATTTTACAGAAAATGTTTAATGAGCTGTAAGAAAAAAAAAACAGTGAAAATGTGACAACTTGCCCCAAACTGACATAATTCTTTGCTTGAAAATAGAAAATAACCCAACTTTTTCAAATCACCAACGAAAACCAAAAAACCTCACAGTTCATGACATAAAGCTCATGTAACAGCTAGTTCCGCTCTAAAGTACGTTCTCGGGTTTATCTTTCATTTCCCTTTCTGTCTTCTGCAACCTGTGTTTTCCCACTTAACTTTAAAAAGCAGTTCATTCACACTTTATGCGCACTTTTAAGTGGCCTCAAAATCAGACGTCAGTCGAAATAGTCTGCTGTGGCTTTGCATTACCTACACAAATGAATTCCTCACCACAGTTTCTGACAGAGAAGTGTGAGAAAATAGTGGCGTATAGGGTCAGTTACCGTCAAGAGGAACTTCCCATGTTGCATGAACTTGCCTCATACAGAGCAGTAAAGCCTCTGCTAAATGTTAGTTATTGTCAGAGCCGGTTGAGAGGAGTTAGTCTAGAAAACTGACCAGGATGAGTTTACCAACTAGAGAGCAATGTGAGGGCTGGAGTCCAGCGCGGGTCGCCGCTCTTCTGAGTCAGGTGAGCCTTCGGAGATTCAATTTATCTGTAAATCACTTTTAGCAATACTATTCACCTTTTTTGTTATTTTATTGATGTGCTGCACACGACTATGTAAAATAGCTCAAACATAATGGTGTTTGTTGACAGCACAACTTGAAAGACTGTGCAGACGCTGTACAGAGAAACAGGATCGACGGCTGTCACTTTCTGGTAGATTCCTTTCTTGCTCAATATTGATGTCTTCTCTCTGCAAATGGCACATTTAGCTAAATCAAATCTGTTTTCTTTAATCATTTATATCAGTTGTTTACACTAATTCACACATTTTAGATCAAATCAGTGATAAATGCAATAAAAACGCAGCAGTGCTTTCACTCTTCCACTTGGGGAAGCGAGCAAACAAACCTGACTTCCTTGAATGTGTAATGATGACTGTGGTCTCTGTGATGGATTTGCATTGATGCAGTGTCCCAAACGTGGTCTGAAAGAGACTTTTCATGATCTACCTGGGATAGTTTAGCTGGCGGCATGACATTTCAACATCCCTCTGAATCAGCGAAGCCGGTCCGGGCGAGATTACCTGTAGGAGTGCTTGGGAAACCTGTTTGGAAACAGTCATTATGTCTGCAGTTCCATTTGGTGACAGAGAAATTACACCCTTCACAACGTGGGACATTTCCAAATGAAAACAGGATATTTAATGAGGAAAAAATGAATGGTGGGGCTTGAAGTATAGGCCAAAATTAGGTTATCAGTCCAACCCCAAAATTACTGACTGAGCGCCATATAAACTCTAATAGGAACTCGATTCAGCCTGAATCTATTCAAATCAATTACAGTATTGTGTGGATATCACTGTTTTGTTGGATTGTGTGTAGACAGTATGTGTGTAGTTTTGTGATAATGGCTGGCAAATTAAATGAGTGAATAAATAAACTATAAAAAAATTAAATTAAATAAAAATAAAAAAAGCTTTCAGTCTGAGACCCTGGGATAGGCCCCAGCATAAAATAAAATAAAATAAAATAAAATAAAATAAAATAAATTTTATGGGTTCAGACTTTTTTTTTTATAATCTAATTGAAAGTATGTTGAAAATTAAATACACTTTGTTTTTGCTTTGTTGACTTAAATTTAATAAATTAAAATAAAATTTAAAAAATGTTATTAAATAAAAATAAAAACCCTGAGAAAAACCCAGAGACCCTGGGATAGGCCCTAGCATAAAATAAAATAAAATAAAATAAAATAAAATAAAATAAAATAAAATTTATGGGTTCAGACTTTTTTATAATCTCATTGAAAGTATGTTGAAAATTAAATACACTTTGTTTTTGCTTTGTTGACTCAAAAATAAAATTACATTTAATAAAAAAAATTAAATAAAATACAAAAAAAATTTAAAGAAAGAAAAAAAATACAAATCCTCTTACCTGTTGAAAATTAAACACTCAAAAATAAAATGCAAAAATAAAAATATAGACAGAGAAATTAAAAGAAAAAAATAAGAAAAAAGAAAACTTCTTATGCTTCTTAATTATCTCATTAAAAGTTGAAAAGGAATTACGTGATTTCTTATTTTTGTTTTTCTGATTTAAAATATAAATTAAAATAATAACATATAATGAAATAATACAAAAAAATAAAAGAAAATTGGAAAAAAACATAACTAAAACCTGTTTTGGATGCTTTTTAATTATCTCATTAAAAGTAGGCTGTTGAAAATGAAATACATTGTTCCTCATTTTTGTTTTGTTGACTCAGCGAGTTGACCTCCTTCTTTTAGATTAGTTAAAAAAAACACTACTTCCTAAATACTGACCAGCCAGTAGTTTCACTTACTCACAAAAAAAGCCATTTTTTCCATGTGTAGCCTTACTAGCACTTGACGAGTGCAAATATACTATATATTTGTACGAGCTTCATCAGTGTTGTGCTCAAAGTTCAGTGAAGTCGCAGCATCGTGCCGTATGTTTCGGACGTGTTTTCCTCTATTGCTCCTCTACATCACTCCCACTGTCCTCCTGAATGGGTGTTAAGGGCATATATTAGACATCTTTGCATATTCATGTGGCGTTTATGCGGCAACCATCTGGTGAAAGAGTCTGTAGATCACAGGAAGGTTTCCTCTGACACACAGTGAGTGTGTGCTGAGAGCCTGATGAGCCGTTTGTAAACACAACATGATCACTTTCACTCCTGTGCTGGGTATAAAATAACCAACGATCACTGTAAAAAATGTTATCATCCGAAAGTAAATATGTTTTTTTCCATTACATTATAATTCCAAATAATTAACTACCTTTAAGTTATACAAGATTCAATAACATTTAAAAAAAAAAAAAAAAAAGTTGAAATTACTTGTACAGCTAGTTTGATTATATGAAAATATTCAATGAAGCAACTGATATAAAAAAAAAAAGCTGAAATAAATCTAAGATGAAGAACTTAAACGAAAATAACAAATGTTTATTTGGGGAACTAACTGAAATAAGCTGAAGTTGGAGCACTAACATTACTAACTAAATAAATAATAAATAAAGTAATATTAATAAATAATATGTCAAACTAAAACTGAAAGAAAAATAAATTAAACCTGAATAGTAATATAAGAAACACAATTTGTAAAATAAAAAATAAATTTTAAAAAAAATTTAAACTGAAAATATAAAAATAAAAGCCAATTCCAAATATTAATAAAAACTATAACAGTAATTCTAAGTTTTGTTTATTGAAATAAAAAGTAAATATAAGATGAACTGTTTCCTTGGCAACTAACTGGAAATAAATAAAACCTAGAGATAAAGCTAAAAATTAAATAAAAAAATAAATTAAACCTACAGATAAAAGAAAAAAAACCCTATTAATAAAATTAAAAAATTACATACAAAATGAAAACTGAAAATAAAAAAGCTTATTATACAGTAAATATAAATAAAGAATACTTTTAATTAAATAAATAAAATAAAACTGTTGTCACGATCTGTGTCTACACCTGAAACACCTGGGACAAATTAAACATGGGAAAGGAAGGCACATGAGGAAAACAACCACAAAACACGGAACAGAGTCTGACATAACACTCCCTGGGCGGAACTTGGGATCAGGAGCCCTCCCTGGGCAGAACCGGGGGATCTGGAGCCCTCCCTGGGCAGAACCGGGGGATCAGGAGCCCTCCCTGGGCTCAACGGGGGGATCAGGAGCCCTCCCTGGGCGGAACCGGGGATCAGGCTTCGGATCGGATAGCGCTTAAGTGGTGCTGGCATTGGAGGGTGCTCTGGAGGAGCAGGCACAGCAAAACGCTTTAGAGGAGTTGACACTGGAGCGAGCTGCCACATTAGCGTCCTTTGGGCTTGCCACATTCACTGCCGGCTGACTGGACTCGGGAAATCGGGAAGACTCTCCAGACACCGGATGACTGTCTCCTTCCAGTCGAGGTCGGTGGTGTCTGGGAGCTCCGTGGGATGATGGAATGTCATTCCGATCCGGAACAGCGTTGCGAGGGTTTCCCCCTCGAGGGAGCTGGTGAGGGCGAGCGGCACGAACGCCCTTGCAAAGACGATGGGGTCTGGGCTCGCCTGAGCCAACCTTGGGGACGTGGAGGAACGCATGGGAAAAACAACAAAGCAAACACTTTCAAAAAACGGAAATCAAAACGGGGAGAGGGGGTGCCGCTTACTTTAAGGTCCGGTATTCTGTCACGATCTGCTACGGTGCGGGAACACGGAGGAAAACAACCACAAAACACGGAACAGAGTCTGACAACTGTATTGTACTGACACAAAGAAACCAAAGAAGCATTTCTTATTTCCATAGTTCAAGTTAAAGCATTAAAATGACTAACTGCAAATAAACAAAATCAAAAACTAAAAGTTAAAAAGTTAAACCTAAATAGTAATATTTAAATAAAGGTTTTAATTGAAAGGACTAAAAGTTAAATTAAAATGAAAACAAGAAAATCAAAAGCCAATTCAAAATAATAATAAAAACTATAATAGTGTTTTTAAAGTTGAATCAGGTGGCAAAATTTTGCAGTGTAACTTAACTATATTTTTCTTTTAAAAGCTTTTTTCCAACCAGAAGCAGAGGTCAAAACATTAGATGACTGTTTTTATAAATCACAAGCCTGTGATTTCAACAGGAACAGCACAGGAAAGAAAACGAGGCACGTCAGGTGTCTTCAATCATGAGTAGCTTGCAGCTTCGAAAGCAATTTTCTGCTGCTTAGCCAGCGCCGGCCCGTTCTCAGATCAGTCTGAAAGATGAAACGTGTCAGCACAAGAGTCCTGGAGTCCGTTTGCTTGTCTTTTCCTCTTTTTCTCAGCGTTTCATTCAGACCGAGCGCTGGGTCAAACTCGACGATCTCGTGTTCTTGATATAGAATTCCTCAGATGTCTTTGACGGCTTTCAGACAGTTTTGGACCGAGTTGTGAAAGCGAGGGGTGAGTGGATGTGGGACTCAAGCTGAGACTCTGCTGAGCTTTTTAATATGCAGCTGTGATTCCAGGCCGCTGCTGAAGTGTCTCTCTCCGACTCCTGGAGAAACTGCACATAAATAATTCACTTCAGCAAGCAGCATCCAAGGAGGCGCCCAGGTGAAATATTCCATATTTTATTCTGTGTCAAAAGGCTAAGCTTGATTTTTAGGCAGGGCTAGGTGATTTTCTTGTCTTTGTCTCTTCAGAGAGTTGCAGGGATTCCGAGAGCTCAACCTCTTGCATTTGTCTCTATTAGAGCCGTTTCTCTTCAGATTCTTAAGAAAGGTGCCTCACTAAATTCGGAGGCCAGGGGTTTTGGAGCTCGGGTCAATTCAGATGCATCATGCAGCGAGTATTACTCTGAAAGCAGAAGGATGTGTGACAAACATTTTCATTTATAGCTCAATATTTGAGGCTAACTAAAGCCTTAATCATGTGACAGTGTTAACCAAAGTTCACATGCAATTAAAATATAAAAAAACTATCAAAATAAAATAAAAATACAGAAATATAATCATATAAATTAAAAGTAAAATAAGCCTTCAGCTTATTTAAAAATAAAATAAAAAGCCTCCAGCTTATTTACTGGGATAGACTCCAGAATCCACATTAAAATAAAAATAAATAAAATAAAAATAACCCCAAAATAGGATGTCCTTGACTATTACCATTGTTAAAAATATCAACATTCTAAACACAGCTAAGTGACATGACATGTGGCCAAGTATGGTGACCCATACTCGGAATTAGTGCTCTGCATTTACTTAGAACACCCTAGCAGCCAGTGTTATTTTGTTGTGTGTTTTGGTCACCCCAACAACAGCATGGCAACATTCAAAAAACACCCAGGCAACCTCATAGCAACATTCTAAAAACACCCTAGCCACCACATAGCAATGTACTAAAAACACCCTAGCAACCACATAGCAACATTCTAAATACACCCTAGCCACCACATAGCAATGTACTAAAAACACCCTAGCAACCACATAGCAACATTCTAAATACACCCTAGCCACCACATAGCAATGTACTAAAAACACCCTAGCAACTGCGTAGCAACATTCTAAAAACACCCCAGCAACGGCATATCAACATTCTAAAAACACCCCAGCAACTCCTTAGCAACATTCTAAAAACACCCTAGCAACCACAAAGCAACATTCTAAAAATCCCCAGAACACCCCAGCAACTCCATAGCAACATTCTAAAAACACCCTAGCAACCACAATGCAACATTCTAAAAACACCCCAGAACACCCTAGCAACCACATAGCAATGTTCTAAAAACACCCTAGCAAGCACACAGCAACGTTCTAAAAACACCCCAGCAACGGCATATCAACATTCTAAAAACACCCCAGCAACTCCTTAGCAACATTCTAAAAACACCCTAGCAACCACAAAGCAACATTCTAAAAAATCCCCAGAACACCCCAGCAACATTCTAAAAACACCCTAGCAACCACAATACAACATTCTAAAAACACCCCAGAACACCCTAGCAACCACATAGCAATGTTCTAAAAACACCCTGGCAACCACACACCAACGTTCTAAAAACACCCCAGCAACCGCATAGCAACATTCTAAAAACACCCCAGCAACTGCATAGAAACATTTTTAAAACACCCCAGCAACTGTGTAGCAACATTCTAAAAACACCAGAACATCCCAGCAACTGCATAGCAACATTCTAAAAAAAACACCCTAGTAACCACATAACAACATTCTACAAACACCCCAGCAGCTGCGTAGCAACATTCTAAAAACACCCTAGCAACCACATAGCAACATTCTAAAAACACCCTAGCAACCACATAGCAACATTCTAAAAACACCTTTGCAACCACATAGCTACATTCTAAAAACACCCTAACAAACACATAGCAACATTCTAAAAACACCTTAGCAACCACATAGCAACATTCTAAAAACACCCCACAACACCCCAGCAACTGCGTAGCAACATTATAAAAACACACCAGCAATGGCATAGCAACATTCTAAAAAAAAACAGAACACCCCAGCAACTCCATAGCAACATTCTAAAACACCCTAGCAACCACATAGCAACATTCTAAAAACACCTTAGCAACTGCATAGCAACATTCTAAAAACACCCCAGAACGCCCTAGCAACCACATAGCAACGTGTTAAAAGCAGTGCTGCAGTGACAGTAGCGCCCTGACAAACACTCAAAACACCTTCACACCACGACTCTCATTTCCTTCAGACAATGTCAAAATGTCATTTAAAGTAAAGTTGCATCTTCAGGAATCTTTAGACTCAGTAAGTACTAAAAAGGGCAAAATGAAAGGCGGCCTAAGTGTTCCAACATCAAACAGAAATAGGCCAAATGCAGTACATATTATTGAGGATCATTTCTGTGGGTCTCAGATGATTCATTCATGATTGCTTTTCTTCCTTCTGAAGGTCTGCTGTCATCACAGTATGTCTATTATCAAAACACTCAAATGTATGGACTTTCAACAACACACTTGAGTGCATATGGCACACGCCGGTGAATTGGAACGCAGCCTGTTTTCCCGCTGGCTAAGGTCTCCACCTAGTGTTAGAAATGAGGAAAAAGCCTGTTCAAGTTTTTTGATTACACAGAATTTATTTGACAGCTGCTTCATATAAATAATAATTTAGAAAAAAGGCTCTCAGGCTGTATATCTGAATCAGTTTGTGTTCCTTGGGAACATATGAATCTGATCAACATTTGAGCCAACACAGATGCTCAGTGAGTCCACTATTATGGAGTGGAAAAAACCACCAGCAACTCTTTTAACATGGGCTATATATATAAAAGTTAGTTTTTCATTCCAAACATAACCAGTGTGTCTCAAAACAGAAAAATGCTAAATTAGTAAGGGACATAACATTGAGATAACAACTGAATTAATCAGTGTGTTTACTGAAGGTATAAACATACTAGTGTTTAAAACATTTAACATCAATTTTATATTCCTAATAAAGCCAGAAAAAAATGCATCTTACAATCATAAACCATAAAGATGATTTCACCTTTTGGCTTGACTTAGCAACTTTTGTTACTTAGAAATCACATTCTCTGAAGTAATATGATGTTTTTCTTACTATGATCTACTATTGTAATGTATATCATGTACAGGATTTACTGGCAAATTATATTTAAGAGTGTAAATTCTCATCAGCAATACCAATATTCATGCATTATTTTGTATGTATGTGTGTGTGTGTGTGTGTTTAACATTTTTCATTTATTTAATGCAAGAAAATAAATAACTATTTAAATAGTTATCCTATTATTATTTAATTGCAGGCCACATGTCAATGATTTTTAATATATTTTTTACATTTTTTTATTTTTTTTTGTAAAATTGAAACTGAAACACGTTATGACACCAATTCATATAAACTGATCAAAAACAAAGCAATATAGCAGTATTTGCATACATATATTTTAATTTAAAGAAACTTCTGGGAACACTTTTAATTGAACAATTTTGGAGTCAATTTCTAAACCATTTAATGAAAATGAATACATTCTAAAGTTTGATTAAAAACAAGTACACTGTAAATTCCAATTAGTAAACCTTACTTAAAAAAAGCATGCAAACCGATTGCCTTGAAAAAAACAAGTAAAGTGAAATAAGAATAATAATTTGTAATAACAAAGGTTTATTTAGTGTTGTAAACTTACACGCAAGTTCTGGTAACTCAGAATCACTATTTTCAACAACTAAATGAATAAGTACAATATACTATGTGCGTATTTCAAACAACTCTTTTATTTAAGTTGAGCCAACTCATGTAACATTTCCTGCAACTTGGAATTTCTAAGTTGTATTTACTTAAACAGCAATCTGATTTACTTGCTAAAAGCATGCAAAGAAATACAGTGGTTACATGTATACTTCATCCGCAAGAAATTATTTGAAATATAATTTAATATTGTAAATAAAGTGTAGCACATGATTGAGTCAAAAACTGCTCTATTGCTGTATCAGAGATTAAAAATGAAATACCTTACCTTCAGTGCACTGAGGCCGAAACAGTACGGTGTTCACGCTGCCACAAGCACTTGTCCCAAATATGACAAATAATTCTTCAGTTAAAGGCAAGTTCCACTATTGTTGTGAATTGTAGATTACATTCACATTCATTCCTTGATATTTGCATACTTTACAAGAAAGAAAGAAAACTTCTATACATATCTACTTGAGGCCTCAGTCATAAAACCAATTGAAAAGCAGCATTTCCTCTGTATTACAGTAGTAAGTGTTACTACAGCAAAGCAATAATTACTGCAAGACAAAGAGCTCATTCAGTTTAAACCTTAAATGTGTGATCACGTAATGACTATGATTGTGATGTATTAAAAATATTGACAATAACATGGTTAACTTAAAAATAACTTAAGTGACCAAAGCCTCAGTGTTATAAAATTATAGTGTTAACACTGCAAAAGATTACAGTAAACAATTAATTATCAGTGGCACATAAAGATTGACTTTAAAACCTACTGTGAGCTCATCTTGAGGACTTTTGGCATGTTCAAGAATTGTACCTCTGACTTTTCATTTTTTAACTAGCTACAAATTTTTCAGTTTGAAAAGTAAAAAAAGTCTTAAATTCGCCAAAATACCTTGTTGCGCATGCTCTCTAACCGTGCTTATTTCTTCTTCTGTTGTTTTGTTGCACATTAGCAACACATTAGCGCACTGCTGCCTCCCACTGGTGTATTAATGTCATCGGTTTTGTTGTGGCTACTTGAATATTTGAAGTAAGAGTTACTCATTGCAGCAAGTAAGTTGTTTTATTCGCCTTAAAATGAGCTGTTACTTAATAAAACCGAGTAAGTATAACAACTAAGTAAAGATAACTAATTATATCTAAGTAAGGTAAACTATTGGATTTTACAGTGTATGCAGAAAGAATCAATCAGGTGTGCCAATTTTAGAATTGTTACATTCTGTTTAATCACAGAAAAGTTTGTTAAATAAAGTCTATTTTCGGTACAGTTACTGTGTGTGCGCGTGTGTGTGTGTGTGTGTGTGTGTGTGTCTCACAGAAACATTCAAACAGAGCCCGACTGTCACTGAACATTACTGATTCTCTTTGCAGAAATTCACCTTGAAGCTATAGAACACAGACGAGTTATGGAAAACTTTACTCTGTTTGACAGACTGAACTCAAAACATGGAAGTGATTTCTTTTAAACCTGTTGTTTCTCTTGCAGACGCTTTCGGCCGGTGACCTCAACAAATTCAGCTTCATCCATCGGCCGTAAGGGATCCGTTTCTGTTTCTATTTCTATTTCTACACTAAACTCTCCAGCCCGCTGCCTGTTTGTAGAATCCCCAGTATTTTTCTCATGTGTTCCTCACTGATAGTAGTCAATGACTGTCTGCAGGAATGAGGACGCTGGACTAGTTTTACATCTATCTATATTTTCACTACCAGTGCTGGGTAGATTATTTAAGAATTGTAGTCGATTACTGATTACAAATTACATGACAAAAATTGTATTTAAGTACATAATCTGGATTAGACATAGACATATTAGGTAATGTAGTCTGATTACTTTTTGATTACTTTTGACTTAACTACTGGGACTTAAAAAAAAGGAAAGAAAATATATTCCATTTTTAATCAATAAACATGAAAATGTCACATGGCCAAAGTCCTCCAGGTCTGAAATATTTTCACCCAGACTTCCAGAATGAATAATTAGTGAAGTTCACGGGACATGATGAAGACATACTGTAGTATTTCACAGCTACGCATCAACAGTGTTTAGTTACTTGCAATTATACGCAATTACACATGATCTAACTTGACTGAGTGGTACTTTTGTTCGGAAGCGTGGATTGCAAATCTATACATTGCATAAAAATACTAATTAAAACATGTCCATTTTCTGTGCAATTGTAGCCACCTGACTAGTGGATGGCATGTGTAATTACACAAAAACTGGAAGACTGTCCAAATGTATAGAAGAAGTAGGTTAATTTAGAAAGGAAACATTGAAAGAAAAGAAAATAAAGACTTGGTGTTAATAAATTATGAATAATTTACTGCCATTGTGTGAAGCTATGTAAAATGCAATCCATAAAAAGTAATTGTAATGGATTATGTAATCTAGATTACATGTAATCAGTTACTACCCAGCACTGTTCACTACTAAATCTATAAGACATAGAAATTTTAGCAATACAGTTATTTTTTGTATTTTTTTTTCTGCAAAGAGACAAATATATGTTGGTCAGAATATACACAAAGACATCAGCACAGAACATGAAATGATGTTTCTTGACTTGGTTTGCAGATCAAGCAGAATGTTTGCACTACTGAATATACTGAAATTTTAGGAATGTGAATTCTGCAAAGATACAAATCAATATGGTCAGAATGCAAAAAAAAAAATCAGTAATGAACATTAAATTGCTACTTTTATATTGTTACTTTATTGTTGATCCAATGCTATATTTGCTCTTTGTATCATTTTTAATCATTTATTTAAAAAATAATAATTTTTCATGCAATTTCATTTTTTACATGTATTTTTCTATATTTTACAAAATAATGCATGAAAACAACAGATTGTTTTCACTTCTAAATATCCTACATGATTTAGACATTTTAGCAATGCAATTTAATTTAATTCTTTATTTTATTTTAATTTTTTTGCAAAGAAACAAATATATATCTTATAAAGTGCATACAAGACCAACTGAGCAAAAAGTCCGTTCCTTGTCAGTTACAACTGCAACCAAAAATAAAAATGCATACTTTCACTAACCTTTAAAAACATTTTTAGAAAAGTCAAGAAGTTTGTTTCATATCCATGAAGTAAAACACATGTGCACATTTGTGACCCTGGACAACAAAACCAGTCATAAGGGTTACATTTTCTGAAATAGAGATCTATACATCAGCTGAAAGCTGAATAAATAAGCTTCCATTGATGTATGGTTTGTTAGGATTGGACGATATTTGGCTGAGATACAACTATTTGAAAATCTGGAATCTGAGGGTGCAAAAAAATCTAAATATTGAGAAAATCATCTTTAAAGTTGTCCAAATGAAGTTCTTAGCAATGCATATTACTAATCAAAAATTAAGTGTTGATATATTTACGGTAGGAAATTTACTAAATATCTTCACGGAACATGATCTTTAATTAATATCCTAATGATTTTTGGCATAAAAGAAAAATCGATAATTTTGACCCATAAAGTGTCTTTTTGGCTATTGCTACAAATATACCCCAGCGACTTAAGACTGCTTTTGTGCTCCAGGGTCACATTTGTTTATGAATACAAATGCATTAAACATCATTCACAGTGCAGCCTCTTGACTGTTAGAACAAAACAGAAGAGTGCAATAATCAAGTTCATTAAGGGAAACCATAACCATTATTATTAGACGCATAAAAGTTTGCAAAATGCACACGACAGAGACTGAGAACACAGAGGCGCAAGAAATAGCATCATTTCATTGAAGTGAATCAGTTCAAAGTGGCTCTAAATATAGAGGTAACATGATGTTCAACAGCAGTTTCATAATCCTCATTACCGACCACTTCTGTGGAAAAAAATCGCCCTCCTCGACACAGCTGCAGCATGTGCTGCTTAACCAGCGATGTCCAACACGCTCAGTCGACTACTAGCTGACACTCAACTAGCAGCTCACACTACTAACTCACCGCAGTCAGTATAGAAACACAGAATGGAGCATTTCAACAGATTCACGGCTCCTGCTACAGATAAACTTAGGTAAGGCAAGCTTTTAAATGATTTAGTTTTACTGTCATCTATGCATAAGGAAGTCGTCTGCGCTCAGTTTCAGTCGGACTACAACTAGTTAAAGATTTACATTAACTTAAAATACTTCTTTTTCAATAAATCAAAATGTTTGCATTTAGTAAATCTATATGAGCATGCAACTGAAAAACAGCAAATGATTTATCAATTATTATTATTATTTTTATCTGCATCTCTTAAAGCTAACAGGAAGCTTTTGAAAAGTCACTGAAATCATTATTTACAAAAAGTAAAACCATTTAAGATAAGTGTTCTTAGTTTGTTTTTGTTTTGTACATTTGGGATGAAACTGACTGCTGCTCATTGTGGCCAGGACACTCCTGTGAAAGAGTTTTTTAATCTCAGAGAGGCTATCAATAAAGGTTAAATAAAGATATAATCAGATATACAACAATACAATACGCCAATGAAGGTCAATGAGGACACGTCATGTGACCAGCTCGGATCGATTGATGGATATCTTGAAGTTAGTGAGTGGTTTAAGCTGGAATTGTGTTGAGTTTCTATGTGGACTGTAATTGTATTCATTATGTGTCTCAACCTCTGTCTCTTCTACACAAACACAAACACAAACACAGACGTTAGCAGCTCAGAAGCAGTTCACTTTGTATGATAAGCTGTTAAACCCAGGCTTTACGCTTCAACAGAGCTTTACAGAATGTCTGAGAGCTTCACGAAGCATGTGTACTGATACAAACACCTATCCACCTATCTTACCATTTCAGACTAAGTGTTTTTTTTAAAGAAATTAATATTTTTATTCAGGAAGGATGCATTAAATTAATCAAAAGTGACAGTAAAGACATTTATAATGTTATGAAAGAGTCCTGTTTCAAATAAATGCTGTTCTTTTGAACATTCTATTCATCAAAGAATCCTGTAAAGATAAAATGTATCACAGTTTCCACGAAAATATTGTGCAGCGCAACTGTTTTCAACATTGATAATAATCAGAAATGTTTCTTGAGCAGCAAATCAGCATATTAGAATGATTTCTGAAGATCATGTGACACTGAAGACTGGAGTAATGATGCTGAAAATACAGCTGCGCATCACAGAAATACATTACAGTTAAACATATATTTAATTAGAAAACAGTTATTTTAAATTCTAATAATATTTCAGAATTTTGATGTATTTTTGATCAAATAAATGCAGCCTACTTTTTATTACAAAAAAACCCTACCAACCAAACTTTTGATCTGCATGTGCTTTTCTTAACTCATGTTTTGACTTTCAGGCAGCTTCAAAAAATGGTTCAAGACATAAAAAAGAATGACGACAGCCTTTTCAACAGACTAAAAAGGTGTGTTATATTCTGCATACATCTTCATGAATTAAAACACAACAGAAGAAGAAAAAAGGTTATTTTTTGAGTGTCTGAAAACAGACGCAAGGAAACATCTGCTGACTGTCCTCAAACACTTTTCCTCTCACTTCCTCTATTCAGACGGAGGAATAGTCCCAAAAAGGACATTAGGTGTGGCTTGCATGACAGAAACAATGTGAAATTTACAACAAAAGCAAGCACTTGTTATTAATGAAGGAACACCTGCTGTATCAAAACATTCATAAATGCATGTGTTCATTATAATAACATGAAAACACATGGGGAAAAAGCAGATATCAGGATTAAGCATCAAATAATGTCAAGCATATGAAAAAGGACTGAAAATTGAACAAATGGTACAATTTACAAACGCAGAAATGCAACAAAATATAAAATATGTTTTATAGAATTATGGAAAGTGTGACATGCTCGATGTGCAAAACGGACACTATTTTTGGAATCAGCATCCAAAATTAGTAAAAAAAAAAAAAAAAAGTGTTGGATTTCACTCAGCAGATATGATGCAGGTTGATGTTATTTATCAATACAAATTGTCAATACAGTTGTTTTCCAATTTATTAATTTTTCCATTTATTCAAGGTTTCAGAACGAACACACAGCTAATATTCTCAAAACTGGGAGAAATACGCTGAACCGGTATCAAAGTGTCACTGTGTTTCTGTTGTGAATCCTGTTGATTGACGCTTCAGATCCTTAAAACCAAGCATGTGTGTCTTTTTCCATTTACCTGCACACGTGTCTGCTTAAAA